CCTGTAATCTCAGCATTCTGGGAGGGAGGAGGATCCAAAGTTCAAGCCCAAACTGGGCAATTTAGCAAGACCCTGTTTCAAAATTAAAAACAAAAATTTAAAAAAGGTTAGGGGTCAGGGATTTAGCTCAGTGGTGCTGCCGCCTGCCTTGCAAGTGCAAGGTCCTGAGTTTAATCCCCGGTACAAAAAAAAAAAAAAAAAGGTTAAAATTGTAAATTTTATGTGTGTTTTACCCCAATTAAACACACACACACATACACACACACACGCACACACAACACCAATAAAAAAGCTATTTTATAGCCAGGTGTGGAGGTGCACCCCTGTTATCTCAGCACTCAGGAAGCTGAGGCAGGAGGATCGCTGTGAGTTCAAGACTAGCCTGAACTAAAGAGCAAGACCTTGTTCCCAAAAAGCCAATAAATGGGGCCAGGATTTAGCTCAGTGGCACCACGCCTGCCTGGCAAGCACAAGGTCCTGGGTTCAATCCCAAATACCAAAAAAAAAAAAAAAAAAGACAATAAATAAATGAGAAAACAAGCTATCTTGTGATGATTGTAATTACTTAGGCCTCTTGGTTGTAACTGATAGAATCCCAATTTGAACTAGCTTAGTGTCTACATTTACTAGCTCATGGAGTCCAAAGAAAAGTTGAACAAACCATGAGCGGGCAGGAATATGAGCTTCAGGAACAACTGGAACCAGGGACTTGATAGCTTCCAAGGTGTTTCTCACCTCTACTGCATTTTGCATGTCGGCTCCTTTTTCACTGCAGACCAGCTGGTTCCATATGGCAGGATGTATGGCTGCTGACACCTCCTGTGTTTTACATTTTATGGCTTCCACTCTGGAGAGGGATTTTCTTTCTCTGCTTCAGTTAAAAAAATTCTAGGTAAGGACTCTGGCCCATCTTGGTCCAGGACCAGTGGCCAACGGATCTGAGGTCATTTAAAATAACACTATGCAACAGTCAGAAGTATTTACAGAAACATGGTAAAGAAATAGAATGAGATCTATAACATAGTATCCATTATGTACAGTCAAAACACATAGGACATTGTATATTATTCAGGGATACATACATATTCAAGAACATATAACAAACACAGTAGAGTCACTACCTAAGGGAAGAGAGATAGAACAAGAGTGGTAATTGAAATGTAGAGCAAAAAGGTAAATGAGAAAGGTTTTATTAATGGTAGTGTGAATGAAACAATATGGCTGGTTCAGTTCTTTGCACCTGAGGGAAAAATAAGCAGCAAAAGAGGGCGTGATAGAGGAAAAAAGAAGAAAAAGCAGAAAGAGAGAAAAGTATTTCTGAATGGAGGTGAAGGGCAGTTTTTAAGCAAAAAAGAAGAGGAGAATGCTGAGATGATTCCATATATGCTCATCATGGAGTAGACATATACTGATAGTTGATTGAATATGGGGAGAGAGACTGGCAGTGTTGTGGTAACTCCTTGGTTTTCACGTAGATAATGGAGTAATTTATTGATTTAAGACTGGTAGAGAAACAAGTATTTGGGAAGAATGGGCTGGGGATTTAGCTTAGTAGTTCTGCCACCTGCCTTGCAAGCACAAGGACCTGAGTTTGATCCCCAGTACCAAAAAAAAAAAAAAAAAGAACTCTTAATTCAAGTATTTGGGAAGAAAATCAGAGATTTGATGAACTAAATTTGAATTGCTTATCAGGTATCTAAAAGGATGTCCTTCTTACCCCTCTTATTTTTTTTTGCCAGAACTGTGTCTACTTTATTGTCTTTTATTTCTGAATGAGCTCATTTTATCAAGTACTTTTTTCTTATTATATTTTATCTTTATTCTTCCTATTTTTCTTGTATTGTCTTTTCCTACCTTTGTTGAAGGCTTAGTCTATTTTCTTTCTTTTTTTAGGGGGTGGGTGGGTGCTGGGGATCAAAGACAGGACTCTGTATATGTTAGGCAAGCACTCTACCACTAAACTACACCCACAGGGCATTCCTCCTTCTCCTCCTCCTCCTTTTTGTTTTTGATACTGGGGACTGAACACAGGGCCTTTGCACTGAGTTATATCCCTGGCACTTAAACATTTTTTTTTACATTTTGAGACAGAGTCTTGCCAACTTGTTAAGCTGCCAAGACTAGGCTCAAACATGTGATCCTCCTGCCTCAGTCTCCCAGCGTTGGGATTATAGGCATGCATCACTATATCTGGCTTGTCCCTTTTTATTTTTTAATAATAAAAGTACTATGACAACAAAATGTTCCTGACCACTGATTAATGATGTACCATAGGTTTTTTTGTTTTTGAGAGGCTTCACATTGAGCTATATCCTCAGCCCTTCATTTTTTATTTATTTTATTTTATTTTTGGTACCTGGGATCGAACTCAGGACCTTGCACTTGCGATGCAGGCAGTGGAACCACTGAGCTAAATCCCCGGCCCCCTTCATTTTTATTTTTATTTTTGGTACCTGGGATTGAACTCAGGATCTTGCGCTTGCAAGGCAGGCGGTGGCATCATTGAGCTAAATCCCTGGCCCTTCATTTTTTATTTTGAGACAGTATCTCCCTAAGTCACTAAATTGGCGAGGTTGGGCTCAAACTTGCAATCCTTCTGCCTTCCAGTGCTGGGATTACAGGAATGCACCACCACACCTGACTTACTGTTTTATTTATTTATTTAGTTAGTTAGTTTGTTTGGGTTTTTTTGGTACCGGGGATCGAACTCAGGTCCTTGCTTTTGGGGCAGGCAGCGGAACCACTGAGCTAAATCCCCGGCCCCCTGACTTACTGTTTTAGATTACAAAACAAATTTGCTGTATTGTTTGGTCACATATTATGTAGTCAAATACCTATTTTAGGAATTTAAAATATCACATTTGTACATAAAGCCTGCACTTTTTATTATCTAATCACCTCTCTTCCATAAAGCTAACCATTTAAAAATGTTTGGTATGAAGGGGCCGGGGATTCTGAGTTTGATCCCAGGTTCCAAAAAAACAAAAAAACCCAAAAAAACAAACAAAAAAAGTTTAGTATGAAGGGCTGGGGGATTTAGCTCAGCAGCACAGCACCCGCCCGGCAAGCACAAGGTTCCGAGTTCAATCCCTGGTACTAAACAAAAGGATTCATGTCAAAATATTTCTCAATGATGAATGTCATCATATTGTATACTTAAAATGTACCAATAAAATTAATGAATAAAATGCCGTGGATGTAGCTCAGTGGCGCTGCGCCTGCCTGGCAAGGGCAAGGTCCTGAGTTTGATCCTCGGTGCTAGAAAAAATTTTAAAAATGGTATGTATTTTTCCATACCTTTAAAAATGTATTCATATAAAAATTTACACATACAGTATAGTAGTTTTGCTGTACACAGAATCATACTATACATTGTTCTGCAAGTAGCTTTTCAAAGGAAAAGCATTTGCCAATAAATTTTGAAGTGTGTTATGTCAATAGATACACAAAGTTTTTTGAGACAGGGTCTCACTATATATCCCAGGGTGGCCTACAACTAAGGATCCTCTTGCCTCATCCTTCTGAATACTGGATTTATGGCATGTGCCACCACAGTCAGCTCAAATATGATTAGTTTTTTATATTTCTTTCTGGTTCTCTCAAATCTGTTGGAAATGGCTGCATTTGTTCTGGCCACTTAAATAATTCCCCTTCTTTTGAACTGCTGCATCTTTCCACACTTCTTTTGACTTTATGCTTAACCTTCTGATGGTGAAGTATCTGTCACATAAGAGGAACTGAATGAGTTCTGTCAGGTTGTTTGAATCTCTTATGCTCAACTAAGGAATTACGGATAAGTATTACTTGTGGGTTTAGAGGTCCAATGGACTATGTAGGACTAGGAAAGAGCAACAGGTGGAGGCAGGTAGACTTGGGAGAGGCAGTTTCCCCACACCACCGTTTTTAATAGTACATGGTCAAAAAAGGGTAAGGTCTTCTGGTCTAGTTAAATTTTATTTATTTATTCATTCATTCATTCATTCATTCACCGAGGTGCTGGGAATGGAAACCTGGGCCTTGAACATTCTAGGCAAGCACTATTGAGCTACATCCCCAGCCCTTGGTGCAATTAATTTTTTTTTTCTTCTGGAGACAGGGTTTTGTTACGTAGTCTAGGTTAGCCCTGAATTCACTATGTAGCCAAGGCTGGCCTCGAACTCGGGGCAATCCTCCTGGGATTACAATGCCACCATGCCCAGCATTGTGATTAAATTTTAACAATGGAAAGAAAGAAAAAAATCAACCTGTGATCTAGAACAACAATTTTTCTCAAGAATCCACAATGATACAGAAATTCTCAAATCGACTTACACTACCTCCTGGTTTACTTTCACACAACTCCTCTTACCAAGAGCCTACCTCTTACCATGAGTCTGTGTGTGTGTGTGTGTGTGTGTATTTAGTCAGGAATCTTGGGGACGTAGTTTGCCATAAAGAAAAAGACTGATTCTGTGGTACCATTGACTATGTCATGGTGGGCAATTTACCTCTTCAGCTCTCAGACATTCGGTTTCCTTTTCTTACAATGGGGATCAACTATTCTTACAAGATCTTTAAGGGCCCCAAACAAAAGCCTGAGGCTGGGGTGGGAGACCTTGGCCTAAGACGACTGGAGCCCGAATAGTGGGATGTCTCCGCCGACCCGAGACCTAGACCAACATCAGTGTCCTCGGTCGCTACTACGCAAAACGACCGCGAACGCCCACCTGGTTTGACCAGGGCTCATCTCACCACTCCACCTCACCTTCACCGGCACCGCGCCTCCACCTCCAGTCTCAGCACACCTTTCCCGACTACACTTCTGCGCACGCGCAACTCCCGCCTCCAGCACCCGGGCTCACGCTCTGGCGTCGCCTCTCTTGAACGTGCGTTCAGCGCTTTTTCTCCCAATACGGCCACCGTCGTTTGGAGAGGGGAGGAAAAAAGGGGTGGGGAAAAGGGTGGGAGTGGGTCAGCGCGCGCCTCCCGTCCGTCCGTCGCGGTTTCCTGGCTGCGCGCGGCGGTGGCGAAGTCGCTGCAGCTGTAGCAACAGCCTTGAAGATGGCGGAGGGGTTGGAGCGTGTGCGGATCTCTGCGTCGGAACTGCGAGGGATCCTGGCCACTCTGGCTCCGCAGGCCGGGAGCAGAGGTGAGTCGCACCGCCCAGCTCTTGGGCCGGGCCTTCCCGCCCCGCCTCCTTGGCCTCCTCCCCGCCCCGTCCACGGTGCTCCCGAGCCCCCGCCCCTTCCCCCAACAGTGGGGGCGGGAGCCGCGGGCAGGCTTCTAGCCGTCCTGCCAGGCGGAGGGCTGGTGCGCTGTTTGGCTTGAGCTGACCCCCTACAGGAGAGCCTGCCTGAGTTCCTGTCTCCACCTTCTTTATCACCACGTCAAGGACTGTTCCCTTTTGCCCCAGCTCCCTCAGATCAGCCTGTAGATTCTCAGTCGTCAGGAGACGCAAACAGCAGTGGGTGCTGGGGTCTGGTGAAGGGCCTGAGCTTTATTATTCCCAAAGGAGCCTTCCGCGGGCCTGCCCCCCTCATCTGATTGGCGTGGGAGAGAAAGGGCAGGGGAAATTGAGGAGAAAACCTTAACCAGCTGTGACTTCCTCGCTGAACTTTTTCCTCCACGGCAAGCTTCTGAAAGCTGCGCCACTGGAGTGATCCGGGACCTCAGAGAGCTGACTACTTTGGTTTGACCTTAGCATGTGGGGAAGCAGGGTTTTTTTTTTTTTTTTTTTTTCTCCTTTTAATCAAAGTGTTCAACTTGCCAGTTAATTTTAAAGTCTCCGGCCACGTCAGGAAAGCTCCAAGAAAGACTTGTGTCTCACCTCATTGTTTGTTTGTTTTTTGGTACCGGGGATCGAACTCAGATCCTTCCGCTTGCGCAGCAGGCGGCGAAACCACTGAGCCAAATCCCCGGCTCTCACCTCCTCATTGTTAGGCTGCGGAGTTAGGTAGAACTGTAGGTATGATAGGTGCCTTCCCTAGTCTTGTTGTAGTAGTCTGTGAGGTTGGTTTTCTTTCGTAAGTGAAACTGGATTGTTCAGGCTGTTTGCTTCTTTTCTGCGAAATAGTAGTAGTAGCATTTCTAAAAAGAAAAGAAAAAAACGAGCAGTAGTATCTCTTCTAACCTTTGCTTTCTCCCCACAAACCTAAGTTACGAAGATTATGAGGGTTCTGAGGTTAAGCTGCTTTATCTTTGTTCATACTTGGAGAGTCTTGTTTATCTTCAATTTCAGTTTCTTTTGTTTTTTTGTTATACATACAAAACGTGGGTATAAATGTTAGAGCATATACCTGCTGTGGGTTTGTTTGCATTCGTGTTTATGGTACAATACTAGGATTTTATATAAAAATTTTTTTTCATTACTTGATAATATTCTCACAAATTCCTGTCATGTTCCTACTGAAATGTTTAAGGGTAACTTACAGTAGTCTTCCTGGGTTTTTTTGGTTTTTTTGAGACAAGGTCCCGCTGTATAGTAGTTCAGGCTGGCCTCGAACTCACAGTGTAGCCCAGGCTGACTTCAAACTTGTGGCAATCATCCTGCCTCAGCTTCCCAAGTGCGGGGATCACAGTTGTGTGCCACTAGGCCTGGCAGTACTCTTCCCTTCAGTGAATACTTAGGAAGCACAAATTCTTGTTTGTCATTCAGTAAGTTCATGGAGCCTGGAGAAGTTTTACCTTCTTGTTCTTGAGTGTCCCAAGAACAAGGTACCTCTTGGTACCTCTTGGTATTTTAAGAGCATGTAATAATCCTTAGAGCAGTGTGTAAGGAAAGCTTTTCTGTGGAACTTTTTCTTCTCATATTCTATTATCATAGTAGCAGTTAGTCTCAGTATTCTAATGATAGTTTGAGCAGTATTTTCTTGAAACAGCTCTGCTGGCTGCTGTTACAGAATTGGTGAGGATGAGGGGAATTGAACAAAAAAGGAACTGCTTCCTCTTTGCTTCAGTAGGAAGTTTGTGATTTGGTAATTTGTATCTGAAAGAAGAGGATTGTCTCGGCCAAGTTTACAGACTAGAGTTGCACATTTTTACTCCAGAGATGTTCAGGAGTGTGGATTGTTATGCATACCCATCTTTTTCTGAATTTTTTTTTTCCTTTTGCAGTGCTAGGGATCAAACCCAGGGCCTTATGCCTGTGTACTCTACTACTGGGTATTTGCACCTCTGGCCCTGTACTAATATGTTTTGTTTTGTTTTTGTAGCGGGGATCGAACTTGGGTCCTTGTGCTTGCGCAGCAGGTGGTGAAACCACTGAGCTAAATCCCCAGCCCCCCTTACTAATATGTTAAAAAGAGTTAGCTTGCTAGGCATAGTGGAGAATGCCTATAATTCTATATACTCAGAAGACTAAAGCAGGAGGATCCCAAGTTTGAGGTTAGCCGGAACAATTTGTTTGTTTGTTTTCCCCTGGTACCGGGGATCAAACTCTGGACCTTGGGCTTTACCAGGCAGGCGTGGTGCCACTGAGCTACATCCGAAGCCCCAGTTGGGGCAATTTAAGGAGACTGTCTTAAAATAAGTGCTGGAGATAGAGCTCAATGATAAGAGCACTTGCCTAACATAAGCGAGGCACATAAACCCATTACTTAGCCACCTTGGAAAGTAGAAGAAAAGACTGAGATGGATTCAGAGGCTTTATAGACAGAAAATAGTATAATGCTGTAAATGTTAGAGATCTTTTATTCTGGCAGTAATGAGGTAGTTTGGGGTCTTTAGGTAATTTGGAGTCTTGGGAATCTAAACATGAATACAACCCTGAGAAAACACAGGGTTTTTTCCCAATTTCCCTAGCCTAAGTGTAGGTAGCTCTAACATGATTAAGTTCTTAGCCTTGCCAGTTACTGAATGAATACTGTAAACCCCAAATTTCTGTTTTTGCAGAAACCTTCCTTGACCACCACTATTAGTATTTGGATACGTGTTCTTGCATGACTTTTCTGTTACTTTACCAGAATGACAGTTTTCCTCCTACTTCCTCCTTTATTCTTTTTTTCTATTTTTCCTCCTCAATCTTTTCTCCAATATAACAGAAAACATGAAGGAATTAAAGGAGCCCAGGCAGCGCAAAGATAACAGGCGCCCAGATCTGGAAATTTATAAGCCTGGTCTTTCTCGACTAAGGAACAGACCTAAAATCAAGGAACCCTCTGGGGGTGAGGAATTTAAGGATGAACTTGTTAATGACAGAGATTCTTCTGCTGTTGGAAATGGTACACAGCTCATTAAAGATGCCTGCAAGGAACTGGACAACCAACAGCAAAATGGCCCTGTAGACCTAGAAAACAATCAAGGACAGGAAACCTTTCATAGGACTGCTGGACAAGAGGATCAAAGTCTAAGAATCATCAAAAGAACAAAGAAACCAGACCTGCAGATCTATCAGCCAGGACGGCGTATGCAGACTGTTAACAAAGAGTCAGCTAGCCGGGTGGATGAGGAAGAGATCCTTAACCAGGTAGAACACCTGAGAGTAGCAGAAGATGAGTGTAGGGGAAAACTTGTGAAAGAGGAAGTTGTGAATAAACCAGACAAAACTCAGACAGAAAAGAGCCAAAATAGTGACAGAATAAGGACTTCAAAGGGAGAAAAAGGAAAAAGGGTTAAAAGGGGGGAGGGGACAAAGAAAGTGAATGATGACATGACCCAGGGAAAGCTAGGTTCTGCAAAACGCTACTCACGCTCAGACAAGCGAAGGAACCGCTACCGAACTTGCAGTACCAGCTCAGCTGGTAGTAACAACAGTGCTGAGGGAGCTGGTCTGACTGATAATGGGTGCCGCCGCCGCAGGCAGGATCGGACCAAAGAGAGGCCACGACTGAAAAAGCAAGTATCTCTATCCTCAACTGATTCCCTAGATGATGACAAAATTGATGAGCCTGATGAATTGGGGCCCAGGAGGAGCTCAGAAAGGAGGAAACATTCAGAAAGAAATTGGTCTGCCCATGGGGAGGGTGAGCAGAAAAGCAATGGTAAAGAAAATCGAGGCACTCTTCGTGTCACTTTTGAAGAAAATGCAGAAACCATGAACAAAGACTCCCCCAAGATGAGGTCAGCCAGAAAAGATGTGGATAGGATAAAGCCTGACAAAAGCCTGAGCAATGAGGGCAGAGGCTCTGAGAAGCAGGAGTCCAAAAACCTGAAACAAGAACTTCGGGGTCAGGGTCGTGGCATTCTGATTCTGCCTGCCCATACTGCCCTATCTGTCAATTCAGCAGGTTCTCCAGAATCTACACCTTTGGGACCTCGGCTTTTATTTGGATCTGGTAGTAAGGGATCTCGGAGTTGGGGCCGTGGAGGCACCACCCGCCGACTGTGGGACCCAAATAATCCTGATCAGAAACCTGCTCTAAAGAGCCAGACACCCCAGCTACATTTCTTGGACACTGATGATGAAGTCAGTCCTACATCTTGGGGTGACTCACGTCAGGCCCAAACATCTTACTATAAATTTCAAAACTCTGACAACCCTTATTACCCCCGGACACCAGGTCCTGCCTCCCAGTATCCCTATACAGGCTATAGCCCTCTCCAGTACCCAGCGGGCCCTACAAATGGTGTGTACCCAGCGCCTTACTACCCAGGCTACCCAACTCCACCAGGACAATATGTATGTAGCCTGCTCCCTGCCAGCGCTATGAGTCCTGAGGAGGTAGAGCAGCATGTGAGGAACATGCAGCAACAAGAGTTACATAGGCTTCTTCGGGTGGCTGACAACCAGGAACTACAGCTCAGCAACCTGCTTTCCAGGGACCACATCAGTACTGAGGGCATGGAGAAGATGGCTCAACTCAGGTATGGTGCGTTCTACCCCAGCTAGAGGGAAATGGGTATAAGATGGAAGTGTATAGGCTCCCATGGCTGAGGAAGGTAGAAACTTTATAGGTGAGCCACAATATTATTTCCCTTTTGCATTGATCCCCTCTCCCACCTGGGAAGCTGGGTATCAAAATTAAGGCCTTGGATATGTTGGTCAAGCACTCACCACCAAACTACATCACTAATCCCCCACATTGATTTTGTATGGGAAGGTTTGGTTGGTTAAAGAACAGAAGCTTTATTTTAGTCTTAGAAATGAGTATGCATCCTACTTTTTCTTTAAGGGAGCATGGAATTCTGAAAAGAAATGACTTTTTAGAATGCCAAGAAATGAACAACATATAACTTGCAGTGAAATTTTATTTCAGCTGCTGAGTTTAGGTGAGGACATATGGGGAAACACTCTTTTCCTAGACTTAACTATCTTTGTAATGACATTCTGCTGTGTAGGATGGAAACTAGCTTGAGTAGGATACGTACTTGGTCATATTTTGGATTTCTTTCCAAGAAAGGTGGTTAATTTGCAGGAAGCTCAGATCTTGGGTCTTCCTGTGGTATATATGGAGCTAGAAGTTGCATGTATTTTATTCCAGAGCTGAACTGCTGCAGTTGTATGAACGTTGTATTCTATTAGATATTGAGTTCTCTGATAATCAGAATGTGGATCAGATCCTGTGGAAGAATGCTTTCTATCAGGTGATTGAGAAGTTCAGGCAGCTTCTCAAGGATCCAAATGTTGACAACCCAGAACAGATTCGAAACAGACTTTTGGAGCTCTTGGATGAGGTAAGCCATCATCTTTTAGTATTCAGGATAAAGGTTTTAGCATCCTCTGGTTGTGATGAGTTTCTACCACTGGAGCTACTGTATTTTAGAACACTTTATAGTCTTCTTGGATTTAGGCCTCATCTACTGTGTTACTTCCTTAATTGTATAACTTACAATTAGAATTAGTTTTCAGCTTGCAAGCTTTCTGAATCTCTTGGTCTGGGTGTGGGAGAAAGAATATGTATGTGTGTGTTCATGTCTTTAAAACTGTGGAGAGGCTTATATTATAAATTTGTCTTGTGCTCAGTTGGTGACCACTAAATGCTGTATGTGCTGCCCTTCACATAGGATATCTGAGAACTGTGAAAGGGTCACTTGCCCCAGATTAGTTTGGATCAAGAATAGGCTGATTCCACTAGATCTTACTTTTTTTTTTCTTTATAGGGTAGCAACTTCTTTGATAGTTTGCTTCAGAAGCTGCAGGTTACTTACAAGTTCAAACTGGAAGACTACATGGACGGTCTTGCCATTCGTAGCAAGCCATTACGCAAGACAGTAAGCTAGCTTTCTTTTTTATTGGTGGTTTTGGGGACTGAGCCCAGGGCTTTGTACATGCTAGGCAAGTGTTCTAACACTGAGCTATATCTCCAGCCCTTTTTTCTTTTTTTTGAGTCAGAGTCTCACTAAGTTGCCCAGGCTGGGCTTGAAGTTGTGATAACTTTTGCCTCAGCCTCCTGAGTAGCTGGGATTACAGGCATTGTAAATACCATCAGGCCCAATTCAGCTTCTTTCTTTATCTAAATGTATTTATCCATTTAGCAAGCATTTATTAGTACCAGTTATGTGCTAGACACTGTGCTGGGTGTTGAGGATATATGAGTGAAATATAGTCCACTATGGGGACAGGTGAAACCAGCAATTGTAGTGTCATAAGTCTTGTGGTATTGTACACAGAGTCTGCCAAACAAATGTGTATACCAGGAAAAGAAAAACTTGCATAAGTATTTTAATACTAAATTTATTAGGCATCATGAGATTAATACAAGTTACCTTTGGCTTCTACAATTACAAGAGTTGCTCAAAGTGGTGGCCATTAGCTTCCAGACATTTATTATTAGTATGATGAACTGCTGCTTGGGTAACCTTGATCATTGAGATTGCTGCTGCACATACATTTTCAATTTCTTCTCTAAGGGTTGGGAGTGTCACGGGTTTTCTTCATTACACACATCCTCTAGGGTCCCCCATATGAGGGTATCACCATCTGTTGAAAAAACATCGTACTGGGGCTGGGGGTTTAGCTTAGTGGTGCCACCACCTGCCTTGCAAGCGCAAGATCCTGAGTTTGATCCTCAGTACCAAAAAAAAGAAAAAGAAAAAACATCATACTATTTTTCTTTTCCTGAAGTGTGTATACATTTTTTGGTGGACTCTATATATAGTGGTGAAGGGATCAAAGGGGAAGTGGATCTAATTTAGGCTGGTGGGTCAAAGAAGGCTTCTCAGAGAATGGAAAGTTAAATCTTAAAACATGACTATGAGTTTGCAAGATGGAAGGGACAGTTTAGATAAGAGGGGACAGTGAGAGAGAACCAGATATTGTTGGGAAAGTACAAAAAGTTCAATATGCTGATGTTTATAATGTAGAGTGGGGCAGTTGTGGAATATAAAACTAATGAAATAGAAAGGCATAAACTTTATGCCATGCTGAAGAGTTTGAACTTCATTGTGAAAGCACTGGGGAACCATTGATTGATTTTCAGCAAGTGAATAACTGATTTGTTCTTAGAACCAATAATTTTGGCAAATTGTTGAGTTTAGATGGATGTTGGGCAAGAGTGGAGGTATTGGAGTTAGGTTGTAGGCATGGACTAAGGTAGAGAGGTAGTGGAGGGGCCAGGGATTTAGCTCAGTGGTTCTGGTGCCTGCCTCACAAGCGCAAGGTCCCAAGTTGGATCCCTGGTACCGGGAGAAAAAAAAAAAAAAAAAAAGAAAAAGAGAGGTAGTGGAGGTGGAAAAAAGACAGCTAGGAATATATGGTGTGATCAAAAAATACAGTGCATGTTTAAATTGTTATAGTAAAAGACACATTGCTTTTAATCCTCAGAATACTCCATCTCTTTGAATACACCACTCCTGATGGTGGCTTTTTTTTTTTCTCCAAACTAACAATTATTTTATTCTTTGATTTCTGTGGGGTTTGGGAAAGGCTGGTCTCTGCTGTTCTGGCTTGTTCCTGGTGTGGTTGCAGTCAAGACAATAGCTGGTGCTGGTGCAGCAAGAGAGAGGTAGCTAAAATAGCTAGATCCTGGGTGGCATCTATCTGTGGCTCTTCATGTCTTCTCAGGGTCTCTTCTTCACTTGGTCTTTCCATAGACCACTATTGGCTTCCTTATGGTGGGACAGCCCTGGGGCAGTCAGATAGTTTATAAGGCATCTCAGGCAACTCTTTTTAGTTTCTTTTTCCTCTTTTGCTTTCCTTTTTTTTTTCCCTCTCTTCATCTTCTTCCCTTCTTATTTTTTTGGGGTTTTTTTTTTTTTTTTCCGGTACCGGGGATCGAACTCGGGTCCTTGCGCTTGCGCAGCAGGCAGTGAAACCACTGAGCTAAATCCCCGGCCCTTTCCCTTCTTATTTTCTCCCTCCTAGATGTCAGATATGCCGAGTTTGTGTTCCTTGAAGTTCCCCTCACTTTGAACTTACTTACTCCATTGTTTTTGCCACTTTTTCTTTCTTTTTTTTTCTTTTTTCTTTTGTTTTTTGATTGCTTCTCAGCTTTTTGGCTAAGATCAAGTGTTGTTTTTTGAGATAAGAGTCTTGCTGTGTAGTTAAGCCTGGCCTTGAACTCACTATGTAGCCCAAACTTGCCTTGAACTTGTGGCAGTCCTCTTGCTTCAGCCTCCTGAATGCTGGTATTATAGGCAGGTACCACCACACCCAACTTGTTTTTTTTTTTTCTCATTACCGGGGATCAAACTCAGGACCTTGAGCTTGCAAGCAGGCGAGGTGCCACTGAGCTAAATCCCCAGGCCCCCCCCCCCCCCCGTTTTTTGAAGCAGTACTGGAAGTCCTCTTTTTGAAGGTCTTTAGTTGTACTGTTGGAGCTACCTTGATATTCTAATTGGATTAAAAGTATTTACCTTTGATGATTATCTTGAATTTGGGCAACAGCCAGAAGTTATACTGTGCCAGATCCTGTGAATAAGGTGAAGACCCACTAATGCTATTTGGCATAAATTGCCAAAAAGGATTGTTCAGTGCGAGATGATCAAAAAATACAGTTAATGTTTAAATAAAAACATTTATTGCAGTAAAAGACACATTGCCTTAAAAAATCTTAAGAAGGGCCCGGGATTTAACTCAGTGGTTCTGCCGCCTGCTTCTCAAACGCAAGGACTCGAGTTCGATCCCCAGTACCAAAAGAAAAATCTTAAGAAAACACTCCTCCTCACTTTGAATACACTTATCCCATCAATCTTGGCAATGAGTCTTTTACTTTAATAAATTGTTTTAGTCATTCATTGTATTTTTCGATCATCCCTTGTAGAACCGAATACTGGCTGACTTGGTGTGAGGCCTAAGATTGGAGGCATGAAGAGTCTAGATCAGTGATGGCAAACCTTTTAGAGCTTTCAGTAATACAGATAGCCCATTGAGGTACATGTGCCGTAGGTTTGCCACCACTGGTCTAGATTCTCCCCCAGTTTGTGGCCTAGGCAGGGGCTCAAAGGAAGAGGTCAGTTCAGGTTTGGATATACATAGGTGAGGTGTTTAATAGGAATTAATGAACAGATGAATATTTTGATCTCTTCGGAATGCAGGAGAAAAAGCTAAACTGGCAACAGATTCAGGAGTCATCCATGTATAAGTAGTAGTTGAAGCAGAAGTTGGAATACTTGGGAGGCTGGCTAGATGGGGGGCACAAGGTGGAGAAGGTTGATAAAATTCAAGTAATGTAAAGTTTTCAAATGTTATGATTACTAAGAAGTGTCCATTGGATTGCATGAGCTTATGAAGACTTGTTTAGAGGGAGAGGATAGAAGCCAGATTGTAGTGAAGAGAGATAGGGCAGTAGAGATAATGAGAACCTAATATAGACCATACTTTTAAGAATCTTGACTGTGAAGGCAAGGAGGGAAGATAGCTAAAAGTGAATTTAGTTGAAGAGAACTTTTTGCTTTTGTTCAGGCATTTTATTTTCTTATTTATTTTGTGGAGCTGGGGATCAAATTGAGGGCCTTGGACATGCTAGGCAAGCTCTCTCCCCTTGAGCTGTACCTTCATTACTTGTTTTTGTTTTTGATGAGAGAGACTTGAGGAATGTTTAAAGATTAAAGAACGGAGTGTGGCTTATGGGGCAAAGACTTCCTCTTGCTCTGTGCTTTGTTTTATTTTGGCATGCTGGGGATCAACCTAGTACCCTAAGCATGGTAGGCAAGTGGTCTACCACAGAACTATACCCATAACCCTCTCTTGCTTCTTCTGATGAATTTCTATGTACACACTCTTACTAATCAATAAGTATTTACTGAGCCCCTGTTACATGCCAGGTGCCATTCTAGGTAGAGGCAGTTGATTGCAGAATAAGAGTGCCAAGATCACAATTCTTGGAGTTTAGAATTTGTTTGGGGGTAAGTGCAGATGCTGGATGAGCACTTACTGATCAATCAGTTTTGAAAAGTGTGTTGTAAAGGGGCTTACCTGGTATTAAAGGATCATGGAGTACTAAGGAAATCACAGCTAAGCTGAGGTTGAAGACTTACGACAGTCAGGTGAAGGTGTATGGGAAGATGGAGGAAGAGCAGGATTCTAGGGAGAGGAAACGGTGAAAGATCTGAAGTGGGGGGCTGGGGATTTAGCTCAGTGGTGCCGCCGCCTGCCCTGCGAGCACAAGGACCCGAGTTCAATTGCCGGTACCAAGAAAAAAAAAAAAGAAATAATATCTGAAGTGGGAAAATGTATGTTAGGGGAACTGATCTGACTGAGGCACAGAGGGTGAGCAGAGGCTCCAGCAGCCAGGATTCCATGCTGAGAGTCTTTGAAAGAATTTGTTTTGTAGTTTTCCCCTTGTTAAGATGGTAGTATGATGGCATAACTGTTTTGTTGTTGTTAATCAGTTAAATACCCTAGATTCTTTGATGTTTGTTCATAGAAAGAAAGCGTGGAATAATCAGGACTCTGAGGTTATATATAACTTTCCTGGGGCACAAATTGGAGGTATATGTTGAGGTTGATGTGTGGTAGCTAGTTATTTAGCTAGTAAGTGAGCTTTCCTGAGGGATAAGTATCTACTTTTTGCTGAAGTTTTGTTCTTTATTTGGTGAGATGTCTTAGTTACTTTCTTGTTGCTAAGATAAAATATTCTACCCAAGTTAAAGAAGGAAAGATTTATTTTAGCTCACAATTTGTAAAGGTTTCAGTGTATAGTTGGCTGGCTCCAAAGCTGGGTGGCATGGCAGAGGAGAAACAGTGCATAGTGTAGCAAGCCAGATAGAAAGCAGTCAGGCTTCCTTCTTCTTTCCCTTTTTATTACATCCAGGCTACAATCTTATTGATTGGTGTACCCACACCCAGGGTGGATTTTCTGTCTTCAGTAAGTGTTACTCACTTAGAACTATGCTAAAGCAATTAGTGGACTGATTCAGTATCACACATTCATGATCCAGTCACTCCCAAAAGCCCCATTAGGAGTGCACAAGGCTTTGGGAGCCATCTAGATATAAGCCATAACAGATACTAATTTTTTCATGTGTATGTGGGTTGGAGTGGAATTAGATGTTTTGACCTAGTGTTTTTAGGGAGTCTTTTTTTTTTTTTGCAGCATGACTTGGAATGTGGGTCTACTCCTGTTTTCTGACTGAGTGACAGGAGATGCCAAAGCTATCAGTGGGAAAACAATTACAGTATTACATAGTACCTGTTACGTCATAGGTGTTTGGTAAAGGGTAATTATTTTAGGCAAAAGGAATGTAAGATGTAAGAGTTTGAGGAAAGACTGTAATGACAGCAAGAAAAGAACATTATTTGAATTTTTATATATCACTTTATAGTTTCTAAAGTGTTTTGTAGTACTGGAGTTGAACCTAGGGCCTTTGCACTGAGCTATTTCCTCAACTCTTTTGAAAATTTTTTTTATTTTGAGAGAGTCTTGCTAAGTTGCCCAGGACTGGGCTTGAACTTTGAATCCTCAGTCTCTCAGAATACTTGGATTACAGGTGTGTGTCACACCTGGATAATAGTATCATTATATTTTCTCCAAATGACTTTTAGAACATGTATTTTTATACTTAGATGAAGAAACTGAGTTCTAGGTATCCCAAGACTTCCTTGAGATCACACACTAATAAAAAGTCAGGTTTAAAAAAAAAAAAAAAAGCCGGGGATTTAGCTCAGTGGTTCCACTACCTGCCTTGCAAGTGCAAGGTCCCAAGTTTGATCCCCCGTACCAAAAATAATAATAATAATAAAAAAAAAGAAGAATGAAAGGCTGGGGATTTAGCTCAGTGGTTCCGGTGCCTGCCTTGCAAGTGCAAGGTCCTGAGTTTGATCCCCAGTACAAAAAAAAAAAAAAAAAGTCAGGTTTTAGAATATGTTGTTCTGTTTGGAACTTGAAGTAAGAATCACCTCTCTGTCTTCTCCCACTGTATTTTCTCAGTAAATTTTCCTCATGCTATTGGCTGGTTTTTGGTAGCCAAGGTTAGGTTGAAGTTTGCTGAGGACTATTAGTGCCTTATCAATGCTTCTCTGTCATTTTGACCTCATCCCTGTCCTTTGTTGAAGTTAGAGTTTCTTGGTTACTCCTCTTAACTGATTTTTTTTTTTGAAAGGTAAAATATGCCTTGATCAGTGCCCAGAGATGTATGATTTGCCAAGGAGATATCGCACGGTATAGAGAGCAAGCCAATGACACAGCAAACTATGGGAAAGCACGCAGGTACCTTTACATCTCTTTATTATTTCTCTTCCCATTAAGCTTAACCCTATTAAGCAATGGGCTACTTGAGCTGCCTCCCATATACATGTCCTACAAGTGTCCCTGTTGGTTTGTTTAGTCATGCTTTATTGCTCCAGGTCCACCTCCACCTAAACCTGTGCTTAGGTCTTAAGTAGGTGGTCAGGATGAGTTGGGAAAGAGTTGATATGGAGCCAGATTGATTTTTGTTATTGTTTTTCTATTCTAGTTGGTACTTGAAGGCACAACACATTGCTCCCAAGAATGGACGCCCCTACAACCAGTTGGCTTTGCTGGCAGTGTATACGGTAAGAAGTCTTGTGGACAGGGGAAGTATTTTTCAGGTAATTTCTTAAAATTATGTTTTTTGTTTTGTTTTGTTTTGTTTTGTTTTTTAAACTGTGGCTTTTGATAGCAGCAGCTCTTGAGTTTTGATTTCATCTGCTTACTGTATCCCAAAGAATATCCCCTCTAGCTCCTATCCTCAAACTCAGTTTGTTCCTCTTATTTTCAGAGGTAAGTTGTCTGGAATCCTTTTTTTTTCCTGGTACTGGGAATTGAACTCAGGATCTTGTGCTTGACAGGCAGGTGCAGTGCCACTGAGCTACATTCCCGGCCCCCTGGAATCCCTCACTTTGTTGATTCTACTTCATGCATTTAGTTATCACTGCACTTAAGTTTCTGAGGGAAGGCTTACATTCCAAGCAAATACCACTTTGTTTCTGACCAAAGCTTCTGCTCTGAATCTTGTCTTGCTTCCCTTCTCTCCCCTGACCTATTGATCTAGGCTACTCAGTCTAGAAGGAAGATACAGCTCTATTTACCTCTTGTCCTTAAAGTCCTGACATACCTCTCAATGGCTTGCTTCTTTTCCCCAGATCTTCCTATTCTTATCTTTTCACCTAAGGTTTCTCCTTAGCAGAAGCACAGTAAACACTTGATTTACCCTCTAGATCTTTTTTTTAAATCCCATTTCCCCCCTCAAGCGCCCTCCCACCCCATTACCCTCTAGATCTTAACATCTTTCTCTAAATGTGTCTCTAACAGAGAGAAATGGTCCTTCAGGGCTGAGTGGCTTTAGGCAGGAAGCTGCATTAAAGGCAAGAAGGTAGGGGCCAGTGGTAGATACTAAAGATTCAAGTAACTGTATAGGAAGCAGCTAACATGCTCATTAGGAAGAAAAAAAAGGTTCTTAATGCTTAAAGTTCATTGCCCAAATAAGTAATATTTGAGTTTCATATTTATATTCTATTTTGTTCCATAAAAGATTTAAAGCAATTCCTAATTATGGATTGAAATAGTATAGTTGATTAAGTAATATGGTTTATTGAAGTGCTTTCTTCAGAATCTATTGAGTCTCTTTCTTTTTTTTGACCTCTATCCTATTTTTTTGTGGTGAGTATTTGGGATTTTTTTTCTACCCCTTTGTCTTGTTACTTTTCTCTCCCCTTTCTCCTTATCCACCTTCTCCTTATTCTATATTTTCTTTTTTTTCTACCTTTTGTTTATAATTTTTAAATGAAATATAAGTTTTCTTGTTAATTAGAAAAATATAATTGGCCATCACTTCTACTTCTAAGACATTTTCTTCACCTTAGGGAAAAAAAGAGACCCTTCTTTACTTGTTACTCCCCATTTCTCCCTCTACCTAGGGCAACCATTGGTCTGAGTTCACTCTATGCACATATACCAATTCTGGATGTTTCATATAAATGGAATCATATAACCCAAGGCCTTCTGGGCCTGGCTTCTTTCATTTAGCATAAATTTTTCAAAATTCTTCCAAATTGTAGCTTGCATGTATCTGTAGGTCTGTGTGTTACTGAAGGTTGAACCCAGGTCCTTGCACATGCTAAGAAAATCCTTTATTACTGAACTACATCCCCAGCCCTTTTTATTTTTTGAGACAGAGTCTTGTTAAATTGTCCAGGCTGACCTTGAGCTTGTGATTGTCCTGCCTCAGCTTCCCAAGTAGCTAGGATTAAATGCCTGCCCCACTGCAGCCTGTTTACTTCATTTTTATGGCTGAATAATATTTCATCATGTGAATATATACCTAGTACATTTTGTTTGTTCATTCAGTATTGATAGGCATTTGAGTTATTTCCACCTTTTAGCTATGGTGAGTAGTGCTGCTGTGATGTACAAGTATTGGAGTACCTATTTTTAGTTTTGTTGGAGTAGCATTGCTAGGTCATATGATAATTCTGTGTTTAACTTTGTTTTTCTTTTAAAGAGATTGCTAAACTGTTTTCCCCAGCGACCATGCCATTTTACATTCTCAGCAGCAAAGTATAAGGATTTCACTTTTGCACTTTTTTTTTTTGGAACTGGGGATTGAATCCACGGATGCGCTACCCCTGAGCTATATCCCCAGCCCTTTTTATTTTTTACTTAGATAAAATCCCATGATGTTGCATAGACTATCCTCAAACTTGAGATCCTCCCAAGTAGCTGGGATTACAAGCATGTACCACCACATCTGCCCTTTCCATATTCTTGTCAACATTTGTTATCTCCTTTCTTTTTTTTTTTATTTTTTATTATGACCAACCTAGTAGGTGTAAAGTAGTATCTCATTTGAGAGGCTAGTTCTTTATTCCACTTGTGGACTTTTTAAAAAAAAATAACTTTATTGTCAAACACACACACACACATACAAAAATTAAAACCATTCAAAGAAGAACAATGCAAGGGAAAAAAAACTACAATAATATTCAAATGCAGTAGAACTCAACCAAAACAAAACTGAAAAGCACTTAAACATTTTTTCATATAACTTAAAAAAGCATCTCAAGCACCAACAAGACAGCAGAGGATGTGATTTGTTTCAGAAAGATCCCCAAAACCAACATTGAACAAATAGTGGTCTGGAAAAAAACTCCAGTTAGCTAGCAGGCTCCACATAAACCAAACTTCTCCCTAATTTAAATTTCGATACAGTCATATGACATGCAATGGAAACACAATCTGAGAAATATGTTATTAGGCCATTTCATCCGTGTGTGTCCTTAATTACACTCTCAGTTTCTCACACTAGAGAAACTATTTGGTATTTACGCACGTGTATCCTATTTATTTCACTTAAGAGGATGGCCTCAATATGCATCCATTTAGCTATAAATGTCTCTAGTTTCTTGTTCTTAATGGCTGAGTAGTACTTCATTTTATAAAAAAAAACCATATCTTTATCCAGCTTCCAGTTGATGGGCACTTGGGCTGTTTCCAAGCTTTCGCTATTACAAACTGTGCTGCTATAAACATGGGTGCACATATATTGCTGTGGTATGATTCTTTTAATTCTTTTGGGAAGATATCCAGCAGGGGGATAGCTGGGTCGAATGGGACCGCTAGGCCTAATTCTTTGAGCTATTTCCATGCTGATTTCCACAGTGGTTGCAGCAGTCTGCATTCCCATCAGCAATGGAGAGGGTTCCTTTCTTCCCACACCCCCGCCAGCATTTGTTACTGGATGATTTCTTAATAGCAGCCATTCTTTCTGGGGTGAGGTGGAATCTCAGTGTTGTTTTCATCTGCATCTCTTGAATAACCAGTGATGTTGAACATTTTTTCATATGTTTATTTGCTGCTTTTACTCCTTTGTCTGAGAAGTGTCTGTTCATTTTAGATGCCCATTTTTGAATTGGGTCTTTGAATTTGGGGGGTCTGATTTTTTTCAGTTCTTTATATATTCTAGACAGTAGTCCTTTGTCTGAGGTATGGTTGCTGAAAATTTTTTCCCACATTGTAGGTTGTCTGTTAACTCTGTTGGTGGTTTCTCTTGCAGTACAGAAGCTTTTTAATAAGATAAGATCCCAGTTGTTGATTCTTTGTGCAAGTTCCCATGCCAATGAGGTTTTGTTCATAAAATCTTTTCCTATACCAATGCCTTCAAGAGTTCTACCTAACTTATCTTCCAGCAAATTTAGTGTTTCTGTCTTAATATTTAAATCTTTAATCCACTTTGATCTTATGGGACTTTTAAATTTAATAAAATTGATTTTGGGAAACAGTTTTAGGTTTTTATTTATTTATTTATTTATATTTTGGTACCAGGGATCGAACTCGGGACCTTGCACTTGTGAGGCAGGCAGCGGAACCACTGAGCTAAATCCCCAGCCCCAGTTCTAGGTTTTTAGAAAAATTGAGCATTAATTTCTAATATACCCCTTCAACTCCTTCTGTCCTCAGAGTTTCTGCTATTGATATCTTACCACTGGATGTGCTGATGCACTCAAGAGGCTGAGGCAGGAGGATTGCCATGAGTTCAAGGCCAGCCTAGATTACATAATGAGTTCAAGACTAGCCTAGACTATACAGTGAGAGCTTGTCTCAATGAACTAAAAACAAAAACAAAGGGCTGGGGATTTAGCTCAGTGGTTCTGCTGCCTCCCTCGCAAGTGCAAGGTCCTGAGTTCGATTCCCAGTACCAAAAAAAAACCCCAAACAAAACAAAATGAAAACATCTTGTATTGGGGTACATTTGTTAAAATTAACGAGCCAGTATTGATACATTATTACTAATTCAATTCATAGTCTACATTAGGATTCACTCTTAGTCCTATATATTCTATAGGGTTTGTATTAGTTACTTTTATCCTTGCTGAGACAAAATACCTGACACCTAAAGTTAAAGAAGGAAAGGTTTATTGTGGCTCACAGTTTATAGAGGTTTTAGTTCATAGTTGACTGGCTTCAAGGCAGGGTGGTGCGGCAGAGGAGCAACAGTTGATGACAGGCAGAAGGCAGCAAAGTAGTGAAGCATCAGCAAGTGACAGCAGCCCTCCTTCTGTCCCTTATATTCTATCCAGGCTACATGCCCTTAGGGCAGATACACCTAGGGTGGGCCTTCCTATTATCCACACTTAGAACTATGCCAAACCAACCAGTGGACTAATTTAGTAATCACACACCCTAGATGCAGCCACCTCTGAAAAGCCCCACCTATGACCTCAGGAGGCTTTGGGAGGGACATCTAGACACAAACCACAACAGTTTTGACATATGTATAGTGACATATATCCACCATTATACTACCATATGGAATAATTTTACTACCCTAAAAATAACCTATGTTCCATCTATTCATCCTTCCTCTGAATACCTGGCAACCACTAATGTTTTTATTGTCTCTAGAGTATTGCCTTTTCTGTGTCATACAGTTGGAATTATATAGTATATAACCTTTTCAGATTGGGTTCTTTTAGCAGTGCATTTAAGGTTCTTTTTGTGACTTGATAACTCATTTCTTTTTTTTGCTGAATAATACTCGATTATATGGATGTGCCACAGTTTATTCACTATTGAAGGACATTTTGGATGCTTCCAGGTTTCTATAATTACTTGTAAAGCTGCTATAAACATCTGTGTGCAGATTTTTGTGTGGAAATCATGTAATTGCTAGATTATATGGTAAGAGTATGTTTAACTTTGTAAGATATTGCCAAAGATTCTTCCCAATTGGCTGTACCATTTTTGATTCCTACAAACAGTAAATGAGAGTGCCTATTGCTCTACCTTGTGAATATTTGGGGTAAGCAAGGCTTTGGATTTTTGTCTTTTATTTTTGGTGCTAGACGTTGACCTCTGGGTCTTGTGTGTATTAGGCAGGCACACTACCACTGAGTTAAACACTTAGCCTGGATTTTTGCTATTCTGATAGGTGTGTAAATTTGTGTGCATGTTTTGATTTTGGTTTTGGTTTTGGTTTTTGAGACAGGGTCTCACTATATAGTCCAGGCTGGCCTTGAACTCTCTATGTAGCCCAGGCTGGCCTCAAACTCAAAGTGATCCTCGTTCCTCAGCCTCCCGAGTGCTGGGATTATAGACATGCGCCACCACATCTGGCCTCTTTTTGGAGACAAGGTCTCACTCTATAGTTCATATTGGTCTTGAACTCATTATGTAACCCAGGCTGACCTCAAACTCACAGCAATCCTCTTGCCTGAGCCCCTAAAGTGCTGGGATTACAGGCATGTCAATGCCCAGCTAGTGGATCTTGCACTAAACTTCATGGAGATGTAAGATCTCACTAAATTACCCAGGCTGGGCTGAGTGAGTCTCCTGCCTCAGTCTCCCAGAATGGTGGAATTTTAGTTGTGGGCCACCACAACCAGCTAATCTCATTGTTTTAATTTGCAGTTTCCTAATGACAGTGACATCTTTGGTGAGGTGTTTGTTTGGATCTTTTCCTCATATTACAATCGACTCTTTTTTTTTTTCTTTTTTTGGTACCAGGGATCGAACTTGGGTCCTTGCGCTTGCGCAGCAGGCAGCGAAACCACTGAGCTAAATCCCTGGCCCTTGACTCTTTTTTGCAATTGTTGAGTTTTTTTGTTTTTTGCAGTCCTGGGGATTGAACCCAGAGCCTCACACATGCTAGGCAAGTCCTCTACAGCTGAGCTACATTTCCAGCCCTTTTAAAATATATTTTATTTTTGGGCCAGGGATTTACCTCAGTGGCACTGTTGCCTGCCTGGCAAGCACAACGTTTTGAGTTTGATTACTGGTCCTGGGAATGAAAAAAAAATGAGACAAAATCTTGCTAAGTTACCCAGACTGGCCTCAGATTTGTGATCCTCCATCCTTGGCCTCTCAAGAAGCTAGAATTACAAAAGTGTGTGCCACTGTGCCTAGCCTTGACTTAATTTTGTGAAAGGTGTAAAGTCTCTTATGTAGATTTATTATTTTACATGTGGATGTCTAGTTGTTCTAGCACCATTTTGTGAAAAGACTGTCCTTTCTTCATTGAATTGCCTTGGTCCTTTGTGAAAGATCAGTTGATTATTCTTTCTGACTGTATTATTTCTGGGTTCTGTATTCTGTTCTGTTGGTCTATTTGTATATTCTCTGGCAGCACTACCCCATCTTGATTAGTGTAGCTTTAGAGTATGTCTTGAAGTCACGTACCTCATTCTTCACCTTTGTTCTTCAGTATTGTGTTGGGTATTCTGAATCTTTTGCCTTTCTGTGTAAACTTTACATATCCACAAATCTGGTGAATATAAAGTTACACTGTGTTGTGGTTTCATTTTGCATTTCCCTGTTGACTAATGATGTACATTTTGTCATGTACTTATTTCCACTTGGAAAAGTTTCTGTTTGAGTATGTTGCTCATTGGAAATAATTAAAACTTTTTTTCTTTAAGTCAGGCATTGTGGTACAAGCCTATAATCCCAGCACTCAAGAGGCTAAGGCAGAAGGATCACTGTGAGTTCAAGGCCAGCCTCAACTACATAGTGAGACCCTGTCTCAAAAAAAAAATTTTTTTTTTTTTTTTTTTTGCTACTACTGCCGATTGAACTCAGGACCTTCTCATTGAGCTACATTACCAGCCTTTTTTTTTCCCCTTTATTTTTTATTTTGAGATATGGTGTCACTGAGTTCGCCAGGCTGAGCTTGAACTTGTGATCCTGCTGCCTCAGCCTTCTGAAGAGGTAGGATTATAGGCATGCACTATCATGCCGTGCTGGAAAAAAATAAAATATTTATCATTGTACCTATTTTATCCCCCCACCCCCACTTCCTTTGAGACGGGGTCTCGCTATGTAGTTCAGGCTGGGCCTGAACTCACAGCGATCCTCCTGCTTTAGCCTCACACTATGTCCAGCTTTTAACCCCTCCTCCTTTTTTTACAACGTTGGGAATTGAACTTAGGGCCTTCCATATGTTAGACAAACACTCTACCACTAAGCTACATTCCTGGCCCTTATCCCCCCCTTTTTTTGTTTTTCCTTTTTTGAGACAACATCTTCCTTGTAGGCCAGGTTGGCCTTAAATTCATGATCCTCCTGTTTCAGCTGCCTGAGTGCTGGAATTACAGGCATGCACCATCACTCCTGGCTTCATTTTATTTTTTTGTTTAAGGAAGAAAGGTTTATTTTGGCTCATACCAATTTCATTTTTAAATGTACACTTTGTGCTGGGTGTGATGGTATACGCCTTAGCACTCTGGTAGGCTGAGGCAGGAGAATTACAAGTTTGAGCTTGATGTAATTGCCATGGCATTTTCAATAGATAGCATTCTGATTTTCTTACTGGAATTCTTCACAGCTTAGGGGACAACCTGGGAGAGATAGTGGGTTTTCCTGGGCCAGCTGTGTCATGCAGTTGTCTGGAAGAAAATCGGTTGACTCAGTGTCTCTGGACTCTTTTTGCAGAGGAGGAAGCTTGATGCTGTATATTACTATCTGCGCAGTTTAGCTGCCAGCAACCCTATCCTGACTGCCAAGGAGAGTCTCATGAGCTTGTTTGAAGAGACCAAACGAAAGGTGAGTGAGGTGCAGGCAGAATTATTCCTTCCTAGAATACTTTTCCTTTTGTGCATCTGTGTCTTCATGGGAATGACTAATGTCCTCAGAGGAATGACTAATATTCTCATGTGAGCCCATCCAGCTGTGCTGATGTGGCCCCTGTATGGAACAAAGCTGACCTGCAGGAGAGCTTTCAGTGGCCCTTAGGGGTACATGTTCCACAGCATTAAAGTGGATGATACTCTGCTACGTTGTTTCTGTAGCAAATCTTTACCATTTTTTTATAGTCCTTAGTTAAAAAAACATAGATGTGGGCTGGGGATTTAGTTCAGTGGCACTGTACCTGCCTTGCAAGGTTGTGAGTTCAATCCCCAGTACCAGACAAAAACAACAAACAAAAAAATATAGATGTGAGAACTCTTCAATTGTTAGCTGAATCCAGATTCTGAGCTTTTGTGTCTTTATGGTGTACAGGCAGAACAAATGGAGAAGAAACAACAAGAGGAGTTTGAACTAAATCCTGACCAGTGGCGAAAAGGAAAGAAGTCTACCTTCCGGCATGTTGGAGATGACACCACTCGTTTGGAGATCTGGATTCATCCATCCCATCCCCGGTCTTCCCAGGGAACTGAGTCTGGGAAGGATTCTGAGCAGGAGAATGGTCTGGGCAGCCTGAGCGCTAGTGACGTAAGTTCCTGAAAATGAAACAGTGAACCAAACTAGTCCTTTAAGCCTGGGTACCCTGATTCATACAACTGTGAGGCATTCCATAGATGCTTCCTACTCATCACAGGAAACACCAACCACTTGAGCCTCTTTAATGTCCTCTTTCTCACCTATAGTCCCTTATTTTTATTATACATTTCCCTCTGTCACCACTATGTGGCACTGTAGAATTTAATAAACAAAAGATTAGAATTTTCCTGCTGCTTTCAGTTAGTTGTGCATCACCAGTATGATGCATTAGGATTCTCCAGGATTTTGTACTTAAATTTTCCCTTTTGGATGACTCTGTCTGTCTGTCTACCTATCTACCTATCTACTTATTTATTTGTATGTTTTTTGTATAGGATATCTTCTTAGGCCTGAGGCTTTTTCCTTAAAGCCAGGAGAAATAGCAGTAGATCAGAGGCTTATCTGGAAAGTTTCTTCTCCTTCATTTACTCAAATAATTACCGAACATTATATCTAGATCTCTCCTTGCTCTCAAGGCAGGCATTCTAGTATAGTTTGTTTTGGGGGAACTTAGCCAATTTTAAAGTAGCACATGGCCAGGGGACCAAAGTAGCCATTGGTCAGTTGAAGTATAAAGAATGAATAAGAGTTATCTAGAAGAGAAGGGAAAGGAGAATGGTACAGATCTCAGGCAAAGGAAATAGCATGTGCAAAGACCTGAGGCTAGGGAAAGAGAACACAGGAATGGGAAATTTGTAGTTGCTGATTCATTGTGCCTAGTATATAATCCAAGTGAGATGTAAAAAGGACTTGAACCAAGAAATGGCCTTAGAGGTGGGGAGAAGTGAACAGTTAAAAGATAGGGCCAGGGATTTAGCACAGTGGTTCTGCAGCCTGCCTCACAAGCTCAAGGTCCTGAGTTCAATCCCTGGTACAAAAAAAATCCAAAAGATACATTAATAAGGTAGAATCCAAAGGACTTGATTGGATATTAAAAGCTCAAGAACAAGGGGGAATCAAGAATGACACGAATATTTCTGACTTGGAAATTCGGAAAATGATGGTCCATTTCCTGAGATAGGGAATAAAGGTGGAACTGGTTTTAGGAGAAAGATGATGAGTTTAATTTTAGACCTATTGAATTGATTATTCTTGTGCGACACTGAATCACATATAATTCAGAGACTAACAAATATCTGAAGCTAGGAAGAGTACTTTAGGCCAGAGATGAAGATTTGTTTTTTTTTGGTACCGGGGATTGAACTCGGGTTCTTGTGCTTGCGAGGCAGGTGGCAGAACTACTGAGCTAAAATCCCTGGCCCTAGAGATAAAGATTTTTGTAGGTATCTTCTTGTAGATAATGAAACCATAGGAATTGATCAGTTTGATTGAGGTAAAAACATACAGTGATAAATAAGTGAAAGGTGTAAGAAGGAAGACCCTCGCACACAGTGGGAAAAGAATAAGATCCAGACAGGTGAAGGCATTAGCCTAATAGAGGGCAAGAAATCCCTTTTTTTTTTTGGTACCAGGGATCGAACTTGGGTCCTTGCGCTTGCGTGGCAGGCAGTGAAACCACTGAGCTAAATCCCCGGCCCCAAGAAATCCCTTTGTTAAGCCTGAGGGAAAATATAAATCTGGGATATACCTGGGCACACAGGTAAACTTATGAGTATTATAGGAGGAAGAAGAGGGAGGGCTTTTTTGTTTTTCATTTTTCTCTTTAAAGTTAGAGGCTGGAAAGTAGTAATTACTTGTAAATGAAACTGCCACCTTCCTACCTACCAAAGTCTATGTGGTATTGCCTGTTTGTGTGTGTTATAATAGTATCTCAAGATGCATCAGGTTGTTGCTCTGATAGAATCCTTCATTGGTGCCCTCTGCTAGTTTAGTTATTACAGCCCCAGTCTGGAAGCTTGTTTAGGTGAGAGATAGATGTCTGGTTGGAGTAGCTACATGCTCAACTATTTTCAAAATGAAAGCACCAAAAGAACAATTTGAGAAAGCGTTTTGTGACTTTCTTTAATGTTGGGCTCAAGGTTGGTGAACATCCTTCATAGAAGATATAACTAATCTCTTGTAGAGCTCTCTCTTCCATTAGGGGTGTGTGTGTGTGTGTGTGTGTGTGTATGTGTGTGTGTGTGTATTGTGGTACTGGGGATTTAATCCAGGGTCTTTGCATTGAGCTACATCTTCAGTCTTTTTAATTTTTATTATTTATTTATTAATTTTTAATTTTAGAGACAGGGTCTTACTAAATTGCTAAGTTGCCCAGATTGGATTTGAACTTGTGATCCTCTGCCTTACCATCCCAGAGTGCTGCTTCACTGCACCTAGCTTATTTATTTTTAAAGAAATATATATTAGGACTGGGGATGTAGCTTAGTGTTTCAGCACTTGCCTCACATACATAAGGCCCTGAATTCAATCACTAGCACTGCAAAAAAAAACAGAGGAAAACAAAAAACTGGAAGATAATAATCATATATGTATGATGATCACTTTCCCCAATATTTTTCACATTGGAACAAATGTATTTGTTTGTAAAGAGGATTTTTTCAATTGGAGAAGTAATACCAGTTTATTTTATTGAAATTAAACCAAAACATGTCTATAAAGTGGAAGTTACTTGTGTTCCTACCTTTATAGACCACACTGTGAAGTATTTGATGGATGTCTGTCCAGACCTTTTCTAAGCATTTATGTGTGTATATATGTATACATATACTTGCAAAAATATGAAAAAAATAGTTTTTGACTGTACTGGGGATCAAACATAGGGTTTTGCATATACTGGGTAAGTGCTCTACCACTGAGCTACACCCGGCTTTGAACTAATACTTTTTAAACAAAAAATGGGCTTATACTATATATAACAATCTCCAATTTGCTTTTTTAAATTATCAGTTATCTGTACTCAGTTATGCTGTAATGCAACATGTATGTTCCTAAAAATTACTGTGCTATGAAAAATTGTGCAAGAATAAACCCACAAGGCTTTAGGGGAAAATGGAGTTAGGGGCATAAATTGAAAAAACTTGATGATGTAGTAAAAAAAACAAAAGATAAAAACCTACTTAAAAACAGTTGTACAAATTTATAAATGTTAAATGGCTAATATGTAAATGCTACTTTAAATATGGCATTTTACCTTGAAAAAAACATGAAGTTTGCTTGTGGAAGCAGGCTGTAGAGGGGTTGCAGCTTGTAAGTCATAAGGGCCAGGAGGAGGGTTACTTGGAATTGAATGGGCGTATATAACACCAGTTATAGCTAGATGTGGTTTATAATGTGTGTTCATGTGTTGAACTGAGGTAACTTGTCATTGTTTAGGGTATTACGCATGTGTTTTATATATTCCCCTATGGCTTGATTTCATCTGTGAGCATTTTCTGTCTCACCTGTATTTCTTTTTTTTTTTTTTTGGATACTGGGGATCGAACTCGGGACCTTGAGCTTGTGAGGCAGGTGGTAGAACCACTGAGCTAAATCCCTGGCCCTCTCACCTATATTTCTTATGAACAAAATCATGCATAAACCAACAAAAAATTTGGTTATACTCAAATTTTTTCTTACTATATTGATCACAATGGTACAAATTCACATTTTAAAATGAACATTGTAGCAGAACTATTTCAATTGTTTCAAAATAACTTTTCAGGGGCTGGGGATTTAGCTCACTATGACTACTTTTTTTTTTTTTTGGTACCGGGGAGCGAACTCAGGACCTTGCGCTTGCGAGGGAGGCATCAGCACCACTGAGCAAAATCCCTAGCCCTCACTATGACTATTGTACATACAACATACTTGATGCTGTGTTTGGAAAATAAGTCTTTAGATAAGGGAAATGTCATTGAATATTTAAACTCTTGTTAGACCTTCTTTGTCTTTGGCCTTTCTGAATGTGGTTTGAAATTCAGATTGGACCAGACCTTAGTACCTGTGTTCATTAGCTTTCCATCACCATGACAAAATAGCTGAGATAAATCAACTTAAAAAGAAGATTTATTTTGGCTTATGTTTTCAATCTGGCCTTGTCTGGCTTCTGGCTTCATTACTTTGGGCCCGTGGGGAGGCAGAACATCATAGTGGAAAGGTGTAGAAGAGAAAAGATGCTCACGTCATGGCAGCTGGCAGGCAGAGAAAGAGAGAGAGCTGTGGACAAGATATATCCTTCCAGGTTATATCCCTTGTGACCTAATTTCTCTGACTCGGCTCCACTTCCTAACAGCCCATAGAGCTGTGAACTCATCAATGGGTTAATCCACTGACTAGGTTAGCATTCCCATGATTCAGTCACCCTTCAGAAGCCCCACCTCTGAAGAGCTGAGCCTGTTGGAGGACCTTTTTTTGTTTTGGTGCCGGGATCGAACTTGGGTCCTTGAGCTTGCCAGGGCAGGCAGCGGAACCACTGAGCTAAATCCTCAGCCCCATGGAGGACACATTTTAAAAATCTAAACTCTTAACAGTATCTTCTCATACCTATTTTCTGTCCTTATTTGAATTTCTTGTCTTATTTCACCTTGTTTGCCTTGGTCTTGCTCTTTGGCTAGTCTTCCTTCTGTTGCATACTGTTCATTTTATTTCTTTGCACAGTGTCTTTTTTCAAGGCATTTTCAGGTCTGGAGAATTTAATGCAGTTCCTGAGTTTTTGGAGTAGGAGGTTGTGTTCTGGCACAGTGCTTAACCAGACTAAAGTTTAGGCTACCTGTCCTGTTGTGCCAGCTTTGTGTTAGGACTGAAAGATAAATACAGCATCTTTCTCAGATTCCTTAGAATCAAATGCATAAGTCAGCAGACACTTTTCCATGAAAGGCCTAATAGTAAATATTTTAGGCTTTATAGGCCATGTGGTTTCTGTTGCAACTACACCATTGTAGTGCTAAAGCAACTATAGACTACACATATATAAATGAATATGGCTGTATTTCAGTACAACTTTATTTGCAAAGACAAGTAGTGGGTTGAATTTGACCTGTGTGCCTAGTTTGCTAACTTCTGTTCTAGTGGAA